CAAATGAAACATTTCTTCTAAGACTTAAATGAAGCAAAGAAGGCACCACGATACAAGTTGATCAGATGATTCTGCAGAAATGCAAGCTTGATAGCATAAGTTGCTACACTGATATCCAGAGGTAACCCTGGCAATAAATGATGAAGTGAAGGAAGACCAAGTTCACCAATTTGAAGTCAAATGAAGATTGCACCAACATTCATGCATTCATAAGAACATCATTTGCACAATAGACAATGCATTACATTGATACATTTGAGTGCATTCAAACATGAAGTTTTACAAATCTTCGGAATAACAAGAAGATTCATGGTAAGAAATAACTTACAAAAAGAAGGTATTCAAAATCGTAAATACAGGAATCATGCAAACATTTGAAAAAGAGATGGACGCAACGCCACAAAAATGAGCATTATCTTGAGATTGGGGCATGTTACCCAATCAACATGTTATTTGAAAATAATGAGAAAACGATTTCCATAGTTTCTCATTCAATCTTTTCTTAAAATGAAATTGTTGAATAGTAAGAAAACAATTTCCATAGTTTCTTACTTAGTAAACTATTTCTCACATCTGTAAGTCCTTCAGTGCATGATGTTTCCAAAAAGCCTTCGGGAGCTTTTGAGGTTTTCAATCCTTCGGGTCATCTGTAAGTCCTTCAGTGCATGATGTTTCCAAAAAGCCTTCGGGAGCTTTTTGAGGTTTTCAAATCCTTCGGGTCATCTGTAAGTCCTTCAGTGCATGATGTTTCCAAAAAGCCTTCGGGAGCTTTTTGATGTTTTCAAAACCTTCGGGTCATCTGTAAGCCCTTCAGTGCATGATGTTTCCAAAAAGCCTTCGGGAGCTTTTTGAGGTTTTCAAATCCTTCGGGTCATCTGTAAGTCCTTCAGTGCATGATGTTTCCAAAAAGCCTTCGGGGCTTTTTGATGTTTTCAAAGCCTTCGGGTCATCTGTAAGTCCTTCAGTGCATGATGTTTCCAAAAAGCCTTCGGGAGCTTTTTGATGTTTTCAAAACCTTCGGGTCATCTGTAAGTCCTCCAGTGCATGATGTTTTCAAAACCTTCGGGTCATCTGTAAGTCCTCCAGTGCATGATGTTTCCAAAAAGCCTTCGGGAGCTTTTTGATGTTTTCAAAACCTTCGGGTCATCTGTAAGTCCTCCAGTGCATGTGTTCCAAAAAGCCTTCGGGAGCTTTTTGATGTTTCAAAGCCTTCGGGTCATCTGTAAGTCCTTCAGTGCATGATGTTTCCAAAAAGCCTTCGGGAGCTTTTTGATGTTTTCAAAAACCTTCGGGTCATCTGTAAGTCCTCCAGTGCATGATGTTTCCAAAAGCCTTCGGAGCTTTTGATGTTTCAAAGCCTTCGGGTCATCTGTAAGTCCTTCAGTGCATGATGTTTTTAACGTTTCCATCCTGCTCAAACAAAAGCCAAATGAAAAAATTATTGTCTTTTTCGTCTTTGCTCTATTCTTGTTAACACAAGGATGAGCAAAGAGGGGCAGCTGTAGACATCAATTTTTTTCATTTAAAATTATTATTATTAAAATTATTATTATTAGTATTATTATTAGTATTAGTATTATTATTATTATAATAATTATTATTATTATTATTATTTATTATTATTATTAATATTATATATTATTATTATTTAATAAATAATTACAAAACTGGAAGCCCATTTACAAGCCCAAATACCATGCCCAACCAGAACCGACCCATACCCAAATGGAAACCCTAAACTGATTTAGGGTTTCAGCTAGGGTTTTCAAACCCTAGCCCCCAGCCGCCGTCAACATCATCAGCCGTTGGATCTGGCAAGATCCAACGGCCCAAAAGGGTTCCAGATGGAAAACCCTAGGTTTTCTAACCCTAGCAGCCAGCCGTTTCTAGATGCTTCCAGCCACCTCCGATGAGTCCAGGTGGTCCAACAGTCGCTGCCGACACTCCAGAACGTCACGAAGCTACCCACGTTGAGCCCTATGGTGAGTCACCACCATAGCTATGGTGACTCACCGGGCCTTTCATCTCTGGAACCGGTCCAACGAGAGCCTCGGTGGTGGCTATAAAAGCCACCCCACTTGCAAGAAAGAAAGACAGCCACAGAGAGCAACGGAGAACAACAGAAAAACAGACGAAGAGAGAACAAAAAAAGAGAGAAATACGAACAGCAACCAACAACCAGACCAAAACAGAAACGAAGAGAAGAAGAGGAACTTACCCTTGAAGCCTCGCTCATTACCGGAAATCCCGAGCGTCACCGGAGTCTCATTTTTCGAAGGTAAAAAAAATTAGATCTACAGGAATCTAAGGGTTTTTAGGGAAAATAAAGACCGGAATCGGTCTTAGAGCGTTTAGATCTCTATTTTAGGTAAATTTGGGAATTTCCGGCCACCAGAGGCGGTGGCCGGCGGCGGAACTTGCGGCAGATCATGGTTGCCGGCCGGTGGTCAGCTCTCTCTCCGGGGAAGAGTTTGGAGAGAGCAGAGAGAGTTTTCTCTCTCACAGAAAGAAAAAAAAGAAAGAAATGAGGAAGATGGCATATAATGGCCGGCCGATTGGGTATTTAAAGCCTTCCCCAAACGACGCCGTTTTGGGGAGGGATCTGTCCGTAATTAACAAAAAGATTAATCCCGTCCGCCATCCCTTTAATTTGTAATCTTTACCTTTTAGTCACTGAATCAAATTTTTGATCCTTTTAATTCGGTCTCTACATTTTATGTATTTATATTTTAGCCATTTACCGTATTAATAATATATTAAGATAAATATCATATTTAGTCTTTTAATTTTAATAAATAATATTTTAATCCCAAGTATATATATTTTTAATATTTAATATGATATTCGAATTTTATATAGTTTTAAATTAGTCATCAAATTAATAAATAAGGAAAATAGCATGTTTAAACCCTATAATTTTAAATAATTAATTATGAATTAGGTATTTAATTTTATTAGATTATAATTTAGTCCCTAAGTTTAATATTTTCATTTACAAGCTTTATTATTTTTTATTTTTTCATACCATGTTTTAATTGTATTTTAAACATTATTTAATCATATGTTACCTTTATATTTATGTTCATATATATTTAATTATCATTACTATTATTATTATTTTTTATTAATTATGTCAATATATATAGTCTTATAAATATATATATATTTATTTATTTATTCTATTCCTATTTATAAATTTAATTTTATAAATTACTTTTAAGAAAAATAATCATATTTTGATATTTATTTGTTTTAATATCAAAGAAAAAGTTGTCTTAAGGTACCTAGAAGCTCTTTTCTGATATTTTTGAATAAATAAATATCTTACTATATTAATAAAAGGTTTTTGATATTTATTTTTAAATATTAAAGAAAAGAGCTGTCTTAAAACACCTAGAAGCCCTTTTCTGATATTTCTAAATAAGTAAATATTATTTATGTATATTAATATATTTTTCTTAAAATTATTTGAAACAATAGAATTATGAATTAAATATATCTTTGAATTTTTAAATTTCCAATAATAGAGACAATTTATAATTAAAAGTACCAATTTTGGGCGTTGTAGGGGTGCTAATCCTTCCCTAAACGTAACCGACCACGAATCCCTTTTTATTAATAAAAAAGAATGAATTTTTGGTTAAACGCAGATCAGTTTATCTTTTAACTGATGTTTTCTTAAAAACTCTTTTAAAAGATAATTTTTAGGTATTGGACCTACCTAACCCAAAAGGCCGATGGCGACTCCCGAATTATTTTTTTTAAACCATTTATTCACATCACTTTTCCCGCCAAATTTAAAAATTCGTGCCCGGACGAAAACCGGTTACGACACACAGTACAAACAAATACGGAGATAATGAATCACCACTATCCGTAAAAAATAAATGTGAGAGACTCGGTGCTGATCGAGAGGTTCTAAACGGTGTCCATCTCTTATCATCAACACTCATTTGGATTGCATGAGCCAAAATTCCATGCACAGTACAAACAAATACGGAGATAATGAATCACCTTGTCAAAGACCACGCGAAGGATGGAATGGTTCAGTCTGTTCCCCATTCCAAAGAATACTAGTTTACACAATAGTCACCTTGTCACCCGTTCTTCCTTTCTTAGTCCTCATGGAGTGAAAAACCTCCTGGGCGAGAATGATATTATCAACAATTGATCGTCCTAGCACAAAACTAGTTTGATTTTCCACCACCCACAGCGGAAGAAATGGCTTCAACCGGTTTACAATGAGTATTGTAACCGCCGTGTAAATGACGTTGCATAGGTTGATCGACCTAAACTGACCAATTGATTCTGGTAGTGAAATTTTCAGAATTAAGACTAGGAGTGTATGATTCAACTACTCAGTCCACAAGTCTTGTAACTCAATTCTCTCCAGGCTCGTGGATTTAAATTCAACCGTTTGTAACTCATGCAATAAAGCTTTGTAACTCTTGTATTAAAGCTTTAACTCTTGCATTCATTCTGTAAGATATTAGTCTAGGTTCATCCAACATTTACAAATTTGAATTCAAACACTGATGGTTTGAATTTTAAATTTCAGAAATTAAAAGACAACTAATTAATCTCAGTTGTTATTGGTATCCTATAAATACCAGACAAATTCTTTAACATTTTTCACTTGTTCTTTCAAAAAAAAAATCTTACGAATTTTCTCTAAAAAGATAGTTTTAGAGCCACTTGCCACGAGCACGAGTCGAGTCGAGACAGACGGCAGCGCACGAGAAACCCCCTTATTCTCTATCACTCAAAAAGAAAGTGGAGAATGTAAACCTTAAATACACAATCCTAATGTAGTTCCTACTCTATGTGGGATTAAGCATTACTAACACTTAAAAAAAAATCACTGAGGCAGTGTTTTCTATACTTTCATGTTATTGGTTACCTCTATGTTTACCGTGTTCTTAGAGATGCTGTTAATTTCTAGTTCCTTTTGTTTCAATTGTCCATTGTTTCTTAAGCTCTAAAGTGTTTCCCTATTTCTGCATTTTAATTTATAGATAAGCAAGAAGCCAAGGCATACTCGAAAGATATTTCCTCTTATTGTGGACGGTGAGACTACATGGAGTTTACATTATTCCCCCTATCACATACCTCTTGAAGATACTTTTTTAATTTCTTAGGCAGTAGTTTCTTTTTGGATATAATATATTTGAATGCCAGATATATTATATAACCAAGTTTATATTTGTTATGATAGAGGTTGCTGGAGGAAACTGAAGATGAGGTGAATTTTCAATCCTGATTGTGAGCTTGGGGTCTGTTTGTTTCGCTAAAAACATTTTTCAGAAAATGTTAGAAAATGTTGTCCTTAATAAATTACATCTTCTAGAAATCATTTTCTGGAAAACGTTTTACGATATTTGGAAGATGTTGGGTAAACAGACCCTTAATGCATATCTGAATTGTTAATTCTTGCTTTGCTATCAAACTCATGCAGTTAACAGAATTGATAAAGAACGGATCCGTTAACCAGTTCTGGCTGCATCCTAAAATTCCATTTCATTCTGATTTTATATAGTTTACAGTTTCCTTTTGTTGCAGTTTCACTAACACTCATTGAACATGTTCTTACATTGTCACTCATTTGTGTGCAGCGATAGCGATTCAGATTCCGACGGTAATGATGAACTATAGATCATTGAAATCATCGTTGTGCAGTGGGAGAAGAGATTTTATGGGGGAAAAAGGCTCCCATGTGATGCAGCAAACTGAAACGCGACTGTTTAATTGAGATTGCTTTCTGTAACTTGAAACAAAATTTTGGCCCTCGGACCATATTGGGATTTCTTTCTGTAACTTTAAACAAAATCTCGCTATATGGACCATGTATTAGTTGCTTCCACCTTCAAATAATATGCCTTCTTGCCGCCGCATTGGTTCTTTAAAGTGAAACCTCTACGATTATGCTCAATATATATATAGAGAGAGAGAGATTTTATTTTAGAATAATTGAAATGAGTAAAATAAACGGTTGAAATTAATGATAATAAATGAGAATATATTCATAGGTAAAAAATTAAGATAATCTAACTGTTATTTATACTCATTTAATGATCCTAAAAAGATGTAAATAATCTTAGCTGTCAATTACTTAATTTATCAGAGTGCTATAACATATCTCTCAAGGTTCGGTTTATTTACACACGAGGAAGCAGATGAAGAAAAGGAAAGAAAAATGAATCCTGCAAATCGGAGGTACAAGATGAGCTATCTCTGGGGTACAGGATTTCGAAACTCCAAAATCATATTCTACATGACAGGATGTCCCTGAATGAAGGATGAATGTCAGCCATGGTGCAAGGAGGCAGCCGCAGCCGCAGCTACTCGGTAGAAAAATGCCACGACCATTTCACCCTCCGATGCGTTGGGAAGCAAATGTCTTTCAACCATCCCCTGTTTCATCAGTTACAGTGCAGCACACCCTTTAGTAAATTCAGCCCTTCCGATGATATGCTCCTCCGAACACGGGTTTCTGGTATTTCTATTCGAGGGGGATGATCAGCCGAGAAACAAACCACGATCACGTTAAATTATCACAAGTGTTGCGCTTCAATGCCTCCCTCACAAGCTCTCTCGAGCACCTTTCGGGATCGTTATGAAGCATCAGCTCTTTCCTCGCCATAGTCACGGCACACTGGCTGCTCATAACATCCCACAACCCACACACCCCCATTATCAAGAATTCATCCTCCTCATTCAGGTCCGTTTCCTGCAGCTCCGGCTCTGCACTTAAAGGACAGGCAGATCCCTTTGGGCCTTCATGTGCCAGTCTCCGAGTGCACGTGCCACAGATAATTGCCCATTAAGGTAGCCATCATAAATTACTCCGCCGAGTTTCTCGATCTTATTCTTTCAGATGTGCAATTAGGTTGTGATCCTTGGACATTTCGATTGCTCTACCTCGCCTTCCCAGCACAGCTCGACAATCTCCAGCATTTGCAATTACCAAGGTTCTTTAAGCAAATACTGATGTTAGAAGAGGATTCATGGAAATAACATCCAAAAACAAATGACCGTTGCAGATCAGTGGCTCACTTACCTTCCGAAGATAAGAGCAGTTAATGCAGTGGTGCCGGAGGATATATCAAGAGAACTAGCATCTGCAAAGGCATAATCGGCTTTCAGAAAAGCACTCTTCATCGCCTTCTCCACACAAATTGGAAAATGAGAGTCTTCAACTATGAATTTAAGGATTCTCCCTAATAAATACTGCCGCATCCGTTCCTCCATGACCATCAAAACCTGTCCACATGTATTTGCAAGGTTCAATGGAGTGATGACAACAATACGGCATTGGTAGAAGCTACAGAAGGACATGAGTTTCACTACAGACTAGCAACCATGACAGATTGAAGGAAGTGCTAAATCAGATACCACATAAATTAAGGTGGTTCAACTCAAGATTACATATTAACCACATGGAGCAGGTCATATGGTAGATTCTAACAAGCATACCCCATAAAAAGCTCCCGGAGAAGGGATCTTTGCATTCGTCTCCAGATGTCGAGAAGATCATCTATGCAAATGTGCTCATCTCCATATAATGTTTTGGTCCTATTTCTGCACAACTTCCCGATCGCAGACAGGCAAAAACTCAGTTTTTTCATCAGAAGATGACTGTGAACTACAATACCAACATCCAATTCCTAGAGAAGAGAAAGCAGTAAGTCAAAGCATTTCACAAAATGATGTGTGAGAAAGTAGAAACACAAAATATAAACAGGATAATCCTTATTTTATCTTAAAAACTCGATCTAATCAGAGAAAGTGTCAAAAGCCAAAAGGTTATGCAGCAAAAATGCAGGCAAACATGATCTTAAAAACGATACTTGAGGACTACAATTACTCCCAAAAGATTCATCAGTACCCTTTCGTAATGTAGCGCAATTATAACTGAATTTTAATTTTAAACTAACAACTAAGCTGCATTCAGATTGTATGCTAATGTAGAAAGTCCTTAAAGCTCAGGCTCCTGCAATTCTTAGTGATCAAAAGAGGGATCAGACTAGAGAAAGATTAAACATACCAAATTCGCCTCAGCAATCATCCTCCCGAACTCACACAATGCTGCATAACCGAGAGGTGACGCGGAGGTTTCCTGAGAGTGACTTGTTTTTCATTATCCAAATTCTCATTGTCAATGTCTGATGCATTACCCCTAGTGTAACCGCCTTCTATGATTGCCAATGGTGGTGAAATATCCATTCGCGCAGTCATATTCCTTTCCCAACCATAAATCGAAAACCTAGGAAGAACACTTTCAACTTAAAGCAATATAAGGTAAACCTTTATATAAACACAACCGAATTCTATATAGCAACTTCTCACAGATGTTCCCAAATAAAGCTTGAATATCAAAACCTAACCCAACTTATAATTCTTCAGACAAAATCAAAGCCCCTCGGATAAACAAAATAGCTAGTAAGGAAAAAAATAACCCAAGCAAAGAAAGCTGTAAAATTTTCTATCCAACAGCAAAGAATCGAAGTCAACTCCCAGATCAAACTACCCTTAAGCAGATGGCATGAAAAAAGATCCAATCTTTACATGAAACTAAGCCCTTAAATTACCCTTGAGGAAGGTATCCAGCCAACCAGGTAAAATTGGGGGTTTTTTTTATAAGAATTCGAAGCAGTAGGCAAAATTAAAAGAACACCAGATCATAACTACAGAAACAACCACCCAATCGATGAAAATAACATCAAAATATTCATTTCAGAGAGAGAAAAAAAACAGATGATTAGAGCATTAAAGAAAAGCTCCAAAGATTAGAGCAATAAAGAACAAGCTCCAAAGATTCGAGTAAAGCTGAAAAGAAAAGCTCACAAAGGGTGTGTGCGGAAATGATGGATTTCTTGGTGCTTGGAGCTTAAATTTTTCTTTGGTGAAATTGTGAGATTGATCCAAGAGAGAAAGAGAGAACCCTGAGAACAGACAGAGAATTGGACGATGAAAAAGAAGGTAAATAAAATAAAAATTAAAGTTGTTGTTCCTCTGTTTGCTATGTGGTTGGCCACCGGCGATTCCAGTAATCAGCTGGATCTTCTAAGCTGTCGCGGCCGATGATGGCGCGATGAAACGTGGCTTTCAATTATGGTGGAAATTCGACGTTGACCGGATGGGCTTTTGTTTTAGTTTGTTGCCGCCAGAGCTTCCCAGCCGTTGGATCTCTGTCTCGCTGCTCCTTTAACGCCTTCCCAGAGCTTAGGGGTTAGGTTCGTTAACGTCCGTTAATGGAGAGCCTCGGATTCCCGGGATTGACGTGCCTGCCTCTCATTGGACGAAAGTTGTTATTTCGGCTAAGATACGGAGTATTAGATATCCAACCAACTAAAAGACTTCCCCCCCTTTTTTTTCCTTTTCGGTTTTGATTTTGATGATTAAGTTGGAAATTGTTCCTACCATGACGTATTATTATTTTTATTAATATTAGGTTTAATGTAAAAATAAGTATTTAAACTATATTCAAAGTTAATTTTCGCGTATATAGAATTTTTCTTAAAAAATTAAATTTTTAAACTTTATGCGTTATATTTTTAGGTATATATCGTTAAAAAAATCATTAAATTACATGTGTCACATTTAATTTAAAAAAAATATTTTTAAATAATATTTTATTTTTAAAAAAAATAAAAAAATATAAATGTGAGACATATCACTTAATTGTATGCACCTCAAAATGTAACATATAAAACATTAATCACACATTTTTAACCAAAAAAATTCTTTAAATACTAAAAATTAACTTTAAGTGTAGTTTATACACTTATTTTTGTATTAAGCCTTAATGTTTATTTAGGTTTAATGGTTCACGAGATGCTCTAATTAAAACAGTAATAATTTATTCATTATTTTTGTTTTCAATTAACTTTTAAACAAAAAAGTGAATTATTATAGTAATTTAACCTACGGAAATTATTATTTACTACTACGATAATATTGACGTAACGATTTATACGTGAGGTATAATATGCAACAATTGATTGATAATGAATAAATATGTATATTTAATACGTTGAATATAAATTTATAAATATATAAAATTAATGTTACCTGATATATTAATATTCAGTAGAGTTGAATTTACGGAAGAAGTAGATATTGTGTCGGAAAGTGAATAGTAAAAAAATATAAATAATTGGTTTCTTCATCCTCATCCTCATCCTCATCCACCGTCTCCTATCATACACTTTTAACTTTATTATTAGCTTCATTTCAACCAATCAAATCATTACTTTTATAAAATGAAAAACATGAACATTATCTCCCCCTTCCTCCTCATTATTGATCATGCAATGAAATACAATGCACGTGATATGGATGTTGGCTGCATGCCATTATGATGCTGCTCCGCCCTCCCTATTCCCCCGTACCCATAACTTACGAAGCTTTAGCTGGTGGTTGTTAACTTTTTTTTTTTATCATATTTTAGATTACGTCCAACTAAAATTTTTATATTTTTTATTATATTTTCGGTTACGCTTACTTCCCGTCATTTCTTAACCTTAAATTAAGCGATCGTAGAACAAAACTTCTTCCATTGAAATCGGAAAGTTTTTATCATATTGACTGTCTTTAAAGGATATTTTTATTTAGGCCACTCTGCTCTTAATATGAGTCATCATGATCGCTTGTTTTTCTTTTAATAAATTAATGTACTCTCATAAATTGAGGACCGCCGTTAATATGAATTATCATGATCACATGCCATTTTTTAACCCTTTCGATGGCCACCCGGTTTCTGATACCATGATCTCGGTCGAATTACTTCGGAAGACGACAGCATCGATAGCCGACCTAGCAACATCAATATGTGTATCGAGCATGTTATGTTTAGAGGTAACCCTTTGGTCATGGACCCCTTTGGAGTTCCCTAGCAATGGATACTCTTTATCAACTATGTTGGGGTAATCCCATAAGCAAAATAAGGGTAGGCATGGACCATGAAGGTGCAGCGGTATCGGCCAAAACCCGACAATCAAGCTCATAGTGCGAATAAGCTTGGTAGTAAAGGTTGAAGCCGAAGTCAGGAACGACAAGCAAGAACTGCCATGCTACGAGGTGGAGTGACCTCAATCTTACGGTCGAGATCACGTTTAGTAACACGCGTGTAATGTGTATATACATGTATGTATAATGTATATGTACGGACCATCTAAGGTTTTCAAATAAAGGAAGGATGCAAATTCATAGCAACAAGTATTAATCCAATGATGATTGCAGCTGCATGCATTGACATGCCAATCTGTCACTACAAAATGAGCCTGTTTATTTGCTGTTTACATGAACATTGGAAAACAACTTTGAGCAGTAACTATACCATCAGCATGTAAAAGTGACCATAATAAAGTTACAGCCGTTTAGGCCTCCTAAACTTTGCATTCCTTATCTGCTGGGTTTGTCTTGCAGTAATCCTCCAACGAGTCGCCGGTTCCTGCTGCGGCAGCACCGGGCCACTTGGCCGCCACCAAATGTGCCAAATCGACAACCCTTTGGCTGTGCACATCACAGAGTAAAGTTATTGATCTACAAACTCAAATATAAAGATAATATAGCCTGTTTATTTCTTGCTTAAAGCTCACCTGTAACCCCATTCATTGTCATACCAGGCCACCACCTTGACCATGTCATCTCCCATGACCATAGTCAAGGAAGAGTCGATGGTGGAGGAGACATCGGAGCACCTAAAGTCCACCGAAACCAGAGGAACACCGCACACTTCCAATATGCCCTTCAGTGGTCCCTCGCAGACTTTCTGAAAGCGGCATTCACGTCTTCAGCCGAAATGCCCTTCTTCTCAACATTCACGACAAGGTCGACAACCGATACATTTGGTGTCGGCACACGAAGTGCGATCCTGTTGAGCTTGCCCTTGAGTTGGGGAAGCACGAGTGAAACAGCCTTGACTGCACCTGTGCTTGTTGGTACAATGTTCAATGCTGCAGCCCTGGCTCGTCTCAAGTCACGGTGCGAAGCATCTAAGAGCCTCTGAACCATCACATGGTATTTTAGTTTTCTTCTTGCTCAAAGCAATTCATTCGACATATAATTATAATTGGTAATCATCGTGTTTGTGTTCGTGTTCAGTTAATTAGTATATTTACCTGGTCGCCCGTGTAAGAGTGGGTGGTTGTCATTGTACCCTTCACAATGCCTGCAAATTAGACGTTTTAACAAAGTGAGAAAAGGCCCATCTCCAAAGTTTAAGCTTGTGAAATGATATATGATTTACCAAACTCTTCATCCATGACTTCACAAAAGGAGACAAGCAATTTGTGTGCATGAACCATTGCTACAGTGTAAGCACAAAATGGCAATCAAATTATAAACCACTAGAACAAATCGAAAACGAGAATGATCGTTGTTACTGCTTTATAAGCAGGAAAATCCTTAACCGAAACCGACCTGATGACATTTGCGACCTCGTGCTTGTAATCTCCTTCATTGACTCCAACAACATAGGTTGGAATATCTGCACCTTTAGCCGGAGCTGTTATGATCACCTTCTTGGCACCAGCTTGTATGCGCTTTCCAGCTCCGGGACCGTCTACAAAGACTCCGGTTCCCTGCAAACATGACAAACGATTCAAATATCATTAAAAAATGTTCCATGCAGGCCAAATTCAGTTAGCACTAAGGGCAAGGACCGACCTCAATAACAATGTCGATGCCAAGTTCAGCCCAAGGAAGCTTGAGAGGGTCCCTGCTAGAGACCACCTTGATAAGCTTACCATCAACACTATGGTTTCATTGTCGACTATCTTCACATCAGCTTTGAATGTTCCGAGCATTGAGTCATATTTCAGCAAGTGTGAAGCCTGTATTCATGTCGTATACGGCGGTTAATGAACCGAACCGAACCAAACCTCATAGGTTAACTCTTTAAAAGCATGACAAGTGAAACAGGGTTACTTACATTCTTAACACCACCACTGTCATTTACGACAACAACCTTTAGGGGAGAGTTCTTCCTGCCATGCCAGCATCGAGGAAGTTCCTTCCGATGCGCCCGAATCCATTGATTACAACCTTCAGTTTGGCAACTGTTTCTCCCCTAACAGGAGCTGATGATGCACCTACGGCCTACATTTCAAACAGTTTCATGAATTAACTTGATAAATCACTTGGCAATAGCAAGCATGAACACATTAAAGACCAGAGAATGAACCTCTGGGGTGAGTTGGGCAGCCAGCACATTGAAAAAGGATGCATCTCTAACGTTCTTGGTGAAGGTGACGCACGCTCGATCGAAGACCGGAGAATTCAGCCACATCCAGTCTCTGCACATCGAAACCGAAATGAAAAATCCGAAAACCAAATCAAAGAGCAACAAAGAAAACAACAGAGAGACCTTGGAGGAGCATTGAGTGGGGAAGGAGTGAGTGGTCTTAGAAGGAAGCCGAGTTCCGGCAGGGATTCTTGAAGGAGATAGAGCAGCGTGAGTTGCCATGGCTGATGAGCTGCAATTAAAACTAAAACATCACCTTCCCCTCCACTGGATTATTTATACAGTTGAATTCGGTGTT